GGGGTGGTACCGATGTCTGGAACGATCTAGTATGTGATCAGGAACAAGGATGCAGTTCAAAGAACCTTCGGCGCCTGAATAAATATGGAAGTCTGCATCAAGAGATCAAGCGATATCTGGATAGGTGGCATCAGAAAGTCACAGTCGAGAAGATGATATATATTGGATAGCTGAGCTATTGCTGCGCATGCCCATGGAGTTCGAAATACCCTATCCTGGCACGGGGATGAGTGAGCTTGTGACTGGACACCTTTTAGTCTCTTCGCAGACGGCCTGGATAATCCTGCCATCGTCAACACTAACCTCGGTTTTACTGTGTATAGGTGATAACAGACTATTCAGTTAGCTAAGTAAATAGCAAGATGGCAGTTAGTCAACATTAATGCTTATGTTATGTAGATCACTAGGAAATAGCATGCTGTTCGGGATTTGCACTTTGTTCCCATCCGTGGTCAGCGCTACTCGTTGGCAGGATCGCAGGATTGTCGGATGGCGGATAGTGACCGGATCACGGAGGAGGGCTGGTCCGCTCGGCAAGTATACTTCCAGACAGAATGCAGAGCTCGGATTTGTAAGGGTTGGAACAAGTTCAGATCGTTTACCAGATAGTTAAATAGCCCTTGCTTTTGAACATGATATGTATGGTATAGTTACAACATCGACTGAAAATATATTCATTCATCATTGTCACCCACACGCCAAAAGACTATACAAATATGACTCTTACGGTTGCCGTTGCTGGTGGAACTAAAGGTCTTGGCCTGACCATTGCAGAAGCATTGGTCGTCCATGGCAAGCACAATGTGGTCATATTCGGTCGAAAGGTAAGTGTAACATCTTCTGCAGAACCAGATGAATCTCCTCGCTGATAACCATGAAGAGAACCCCTGGTCTAGACGAGAAGCTACCGGCTCGTTTGGTTGTTGTTGATTACGAAAACATCCAAAACCTTACAGAGGCTCTCGAATCCAACAAAGTGAGCGACGTGATCTGTACCGTCAACGCACATGGGAGCTCTCTATCGGAAAGGAACCTCATTCACGCGGCGGAGAACTCGTCTACGACGAAGCGATTCATCCCCAGCATCTTTGCCGGCTTCGCATATCCAGTCAAGTTAGTCAAGTCCCCCTCAAATGACACGGGTGGTCGAAGAAAAGCGTCATATGATATTGACCTCTACGTCTATCTAGGTATCCCGAAGTCGCCAAATCCAAAACGGAGGTGCTAGAGGAGCTGGCGAAAACATCTCTAATGCACACTGCTATCTACAACGGCATGTTTATGGATTTCTACGGGTCCCCTCTGCTCAAATCTAACGTCGGCCCCTTTCCGATGTTTGTTGATATCGCCAGCAAGATGGCAGCCAAACCCGGATCAGGAGATGAAGCCATTGTGCTTACCCGTGTTTTGGACATTGCCAGATTTGTTGTCCGCATTCTGGATCTTGCCGAATGGCCCAAGGAGAGCTATATCATAGGTGACCGGGTAACCCTCCATGACTTTGTTAATATGGCCGAAGAGGCGAGAGGTGGGTGCTGTGTCTTAGTATTGAGAATATATCGTAACTGTTCTAACGAGACTCTGTCAGGTACCAAGTTTCAAGTCACCTGTGACTCTAAGGAAGAGTTAGAGGCAGGAAAGATCACGGAATTGCCTTGCTACTCGGCCACCTTTGCGGCAGTGGGTAAAGAACTGACCAAGCAACTATACGCTCAAAATGGGTTATGGATCATTGGAAAAGAGCTCGACCTCAGACCTGCCAGTACTCTCAATGAAATTTTCCCGGACATTAAGCCTATGAGCTTGCGGGAGTTCCTTGAGCTCTCCTGGAAGATATAGAACTGAAGTTGGAGCAGAGAGAATTGGGACTTGGGATGTGTAGAAAAGGTATCATTGGCTGGTTGGTTAGCGCCTTGGCACAGACCGAAGAAATCTGTTAACGACAACAGGAACCAAGACTCGAGTAGAGCTATCAAGCCTCTATATGAAAATATACTGAGTGAAATACAACTTCCCTTTACACAATTAGAAGGTCAAGCTCACGTGGCCAGTATATTCTTAGCTCTCCCCTCCTTCCCGTGTATCTCATGACAGAATAGACCAATAAAGCCTTCGGGGCATCACTTGCAGGGGGTTTGAAATTGTAGGGTTACAACGCTAGCCTCACGAGCACCCTTAGTTGGCGGGACTGTCGGAACTAAGCGATGCAGGGAGCGGCCATAGCGAGTCAGACTAAGATCAAAACAAGCCTCACGGCCGAGTTTTCCGATCCCTATCCACTCGGAACCATCCAACCACGCTCGCTTGAACACTAGGGTGTGCGGGCGCCATGAGCTTGGCTTCTTTGGTCTTAGATTGGGCATATAGCTCACTCCGAGAGCGCTCATTGTCTGTCAGCCTTGCAGGCAGACCCTTCACGAGACCCAATAGCCGGTTCTGCTTCGGGGACAGGGGATGAAGTCCTAATTTCAGAATTTGGACATAAAGGACCCCTGAGCAAGCCCGCCGTTGCGAAAATGCCCAACATTCCACTCCCTCTGCCTACGGGCTACACATGATGGCCACCTTGAACCACCCCCCTCAAGTGGCTGGAAATGGCCAAAAGAACTCAAATGCGGCAAGTCCGATACTGGAGCCCCTGCGGTATCGGACGAGGAAGTCACTGTACCTTCTTTGCTTCTATGTTGCTATTCTGCTCGCTCCCTGGATCATGACGTGTGTCATGATGGTGCGCCCTCTGGACGCCGCCTCCTATACTCGCCAGGGCTTTGGCCAGTCGGCGGCCGTGGTTCTGGATATCCTCGTCAGCCTGGAAATCATCCTCGTGCTTGAAAAGATACAGGCTGTTCTCGCCATCCCCATCGTCTCCGGTTTTCTGGCCCAAGCTGCCGTTGTCTACACGCAGCGACGCTCGTCTAACCAGAAGCTGTCCCTACGACAGATTGTTACTCTAGCCGATCGTCCCTGGGCCAACGTGGTGTCATGGCTTCGCTGTCTACCACTTCATGGCAATGGATCCCCACTTGCCATTCTTGGAGGGCTGTTCGTTCTGCTGGTAGCAGCCACCCCTGCCATCCAGTCACTCTTAATCAAGTACGAAGATATTAATATTGCCACATGCTGGGAGTCACCGGTTCGGACATGCGATCCAACGAACATTGCCACAATCGTGGGTCTTGACCCGGAACCTGCTGCTCTAGAGTATATGCCCCAGAGTCTTGCTGTCCAGCAAGTAGCCAAGAAGACGCAGCTGGTAAGCGAGCTCGACGTGCAACCTTATCTATGGCCGGAGCAATGGACAACAATCAACGACGCTCAGGCTATTGAGAGGGGAACATTCTTCTGGTATGACGAGAGTTTCCCTTCGGATAAGTATTTTGTATCTGCGCTACAAAATGGGACCAATACCGGTGTCCTGCGCCAACATGCCATCCGGTTGAACTCCACGTCCGCCTGCGAGGCGGTGCATCCCTCTGCCTTTCCGCAGACATGTTCGGGTGACAGGCCTTTCGTGACTAACTTGTCAGCACCTGATGCTCTTGACATTCGAATCTGCGCGCCCGGCGCGTTCGGCCAAACGCCTTGGACTCGCAGTCGGGACCGCCAGGATATCTCAGAGGAGCTATGGATTGATGTCGTTCAGCAAATCACAGGTTGGATTGTCGAACAATCCAACTTTACGTTGAGATGTACTACGAATACTACTCGGGGGTACTTCGAAATAAGCAACTATAAGAATGGCAATAACCCGGGACCGCTTCTTGAGAAATGGCCCAGTCCAGAGGTGCTGAAGCAGGATTTCAATGACTATTTGGGAGCAGGTGCAGGTTATGCCATTCCGTCCGTCGTGTAAGACGCCCCCCTTCCAACAACCTTCCAATTAGCTGCCAGAAGATAACTGACAATATATACCAGTGACAACGACACAGACTATAGTCTCTTCGCCATAAGCCCCCCACCAGTCGATCCTTTCAACTACGAACAGCTCTACGCAGCCGGGCCACTAATGACCAGTGCAATAGCTCTATTCGGCAACCAAAGCTTCTTTAACGCCGCCAGCAACGCTACCACCAACAACACCACAAGATCTGCACTATTCTCCATATGCCGATTCAACGCCTTTCCATTCAATCGGCTCGCCGAAGTCGGCTTCAGCACCGCCGGAGATAACTGCTATGATCTTTTGTCGGAAATAGATCGCTTCAGCGACGACTATTGGTACCAATACCTGATGTACACGATATACAACTGGGTTGTCGCGTTCAACGATACTCAATCAGCCGTTACAGCCCTAAACATGGCAACTTACTTTGCTAACGAAGCCGTGCTCACCAACATAGCAACTCAAGGCTGGTCAGATGGCTCACGACAGATCTACTTTGACAGCGGTACCGTGATGATCAAGCCTAAATGGAGCTTAGCAGGGATAATAGTCATATCTACTCTCATAGGTCTGCAGATCTTGGGTCTATGTCTAATTGTGTTTTACTGTCGCTCGGTTCCCACCTGGACGGATAGTCTCGATGCTTTTGCGATGCTCCGCATGGGTGCGGAACTGCAGCGTGAAAAGCATGTGCGCTTTGCGGGTATCAGGGATACGGATAAGCAGGATATGGAGGACCTCGGTCGTATTGATGGGCTTGTGGGCGTTGTTGAAAGTCGTGGACTGCGGGGAGGAGATGAAGCACATAGTATGAAGGACAGTTCGCCGTTGGTTTCTCAGTCGGAAGGGGATCCTACCTCCTCGGGAATCCCATTGGCCGAGCTTCCGCCATACTCCTCCACAGTCTCGATTAATACTCACAATGATGAAGGGAGTGAAGAACGAGATGAAAGGGCAAAGAAAGAAGGTCTAGTGCCGCCGTTCCGTCTCGCAGTGGGTGCACCGGGCCTGATTACAAAGAGTATGGCGCCTAAGAAGACACGGAGGCGGAAGAAGACAAGCATAGTGATCACAGGTGCAAGTCAAGTGTGATGAAAGTGCTACGGTTTTGGGGATATCACTACTAATGATAATAATATAAGTCGGCAATCCACCACAGATGCAACTATTCTCCCTTGATCATTCATTTACTGGAAGCATTCTTTCTCCCAATAAATAGAGTAAACAAGTCCCGCAGGTCACATCAGTCATGTCAGTCAGTGAGATTATATACTACAGGTGGTTTATTGATACGTACTCGGTGCTCCAGTATGGAGAGTATGCTTTAGAGAAGTGAATAATCTATTGATGTTATCCATCTACTTGGAATATATATGTCACGATAGAGGATTGTGATGATAATCAATTTCTTGCATTTACCTTGAGTCGAGATAGATATGGGATGTTTCTTTTTCAATAAAAGATAACAGTAGTGAGAAAGCGTCAATGTGTAGTAGTAGACAGCCGTTAGAAAAATTTTATATGTTCAGGACCTGGAAATCATTGGTCTACTAGTAGTGCCTTCGAGTTAATAAGCCTGTTGATTGCTTGGAATGCAGGTGCTGTGCATGATAAGTGAATGGTATTGATGTTGCTGTTGAAGGTAGTAAGTAATAGATTATGTTCGTTTGTTGTTGGAAAATATAGGATAGCAATCTGCTATTCACTAGTATGATTTACTACTAGTGGTGTATATTTTTAATTGTTCAAGAGAATGCCGTGAAGTTGATTGCGTGGAACAACAGCGTACGCGATTGACAGCTCATCTTTCAATACGTGGAATAAGGTGCGACGCTCTCTTAAAGCTTAAGCTTAATACATTACAAAATTCTAGGATTATGTTAATGCAAAAGATGAACGCTTCTATCAATCAACCTCGTCTGAAACAGCAGCAAAGCAGGATAGACCAAGATAACCTGACCCTCCTGTATATCATCAATAGTCATAACAGGCCACAAGCTGGCAGGGTATCGTCGATAAGCGAACAGGCAAGGCTGCAGCTCCAGTTATTGCGATTGGAACCGAGCGAACGCGACAAGAATATAACAAACACAGGGAAACAGACAGTTCAAGGAAATGATTAACGAGGGTGAATGCAATGATGATAATGACAAAGGAGAAAGGTCCAAATGAGGGCAGCCCGACAACTCAGGCTAGATACAAGATGTAGATGACGGAGAGGATGAGTATCGCACTGAGAATGTTGGCCGCGGAACGGTCAACAGAGCCGTATCCCTATTGCTCATGGTCCGGCTTCTGTTCAGGCGCAGTGGTTACTTCTTTGTCAGCTTCCTCGTGCTCCTCAGCATCAAGGAACGTTTCTCTTTTATCTTCTTCTGTTTCATCCGAGTCTTCGGGTACCGGAGACTTTCCTTTGACCATAATCACTTCCTCTTCCTTTCCAACCTCTTCCTCCTCAGCATTTGCTTCTTCAGCCACGTCTGCATCAGGCTCCGCCTCTGCGGCCTCTGCGTCATCGGTCGGCTTCTCAGTTTGCTCCGCTTGGGCTGCAGCGGCTTCTGCTTCGGCCTTCTCCATTTCGGCCGCCCTGGCCTGTTGTCTCTCCCAGACCTCCTTGCGAATGCGGTCATCTTTGGCCCGACGGAGTCTCTCGGCCTCCTCCACACCACCACTCTTCTTCAACTTGCCTTCTTCGACAAAAGCTCCGAGCTCCTTTTGGAAAAGCCCAATACGGCGAGTCTCCAGCTCCTTCTGGCGTGCCTTCTCTGCCCGCTCAATGGCCTCCAAGCGAGATTCATGGTTCGGCTGCAAGGCGCGCACCTCACCCAAGACGCTGTCTTTTGCCTTCATGGGATCCACAGCCGGATCAATCACAACGTTTCGCGAGGTGTTGCGCAAGGTGGGTCCACCCGAAGAGTTCTGCATCGCCTGCTGCTTTGTGGCCTGCTCAACAAGAGCAAAAGTTTGAGCT